TAGGTCCAGCATGGTGGCTCACACCTATATTCCTAGCACTCTTGGGAGGCCAAGGTAGGTGGATTGGATTGCCTGAGCTCACAGGTTTGAGAACAACATGAGGGAGACCGCATCTCTAAAAATAGCCGGGCTTTGTGGTGGGTGCCTGTAGTCCCAGCTACTTGGGAGGCTGAGGCAAGAGAATTGCTTAAGCCCAAGAGTCTGAGGTTGCTGTGCTATGTTGCCATGGCACTCTACCAAGGGTGATAAAGTAAGACTCTGTCTCAGAGAAAACATTTAGTACTTTCCTGAGGGCACCTGACAGTGGAATATGGGGGAAGGAGAGTTGGCATGCTGAGACCACAGAAAAGGAGGGAAGAAAAAAACACCTGCTTCCCAGACTGCCCCTCAAACCTTCTGTGGCTGGTGACAGTGTGACATTGTGGTATCATCTGGCCTACTGGAGCCGCTCCCTCACTGGGAAAATCTCATATGAAGTTTAGAATTGTTTTTCCTAATTCTGTGAAAAATGATGTTGGTATTTTGATAGGAATTGCATTGCATCTGTAGATTGCTTTTGGCAGCATGCTCACTTTAACATTAATAAGTCTAATCCATGAGCATGGGATGTTTTCTATTTGTTTGTGTCATCTATGTTTCTTTTATCAGTGATTTATTGCCCTCCCATAGAGACCTTTCATTTCCTTGTTATCTTCTAGTGACCGTAGCAAAATTTTTCTTTTTGTCCTCAAGACATTATGCTTTGATGTTCTATAAATTTTAGTTCCAATTCAAGGACTGCTTTCCCTAAGAGATAGAGCAAGAATTCCACTGAATAAGGAGTTAACTAAAGACTATAATTATCATGGGTATTTCTTTCCTATTTTTTCACGTGTGTGTGTGTGTGTGTGGCAACTATTTTTGTTGCCTTTTTTAATCTTGTTATCATACGACATAAGATGTAGTAAGTTTATATCACAGTATTTAAGTTACTATCAAGGAGAAGAGTCAATATTATCTGAAAATTTGCATCTTTTTTCTGGGGAAAGCATTAATGAATTTTGATTGTATTCAAAATAGTTGTACTCAGAATATTTGTACCACGTTAAGAGAAAATATCACTTTGTTTTTGTCTTTATTTTGTGACTAAGTAAGGTATATGGCAGCTAAGTTGGCAATGGTTAGACTCTAATATGTTAACTTGGGTAGGCTGTGGTGCCCAGTCATTTGGTTAAAACAAATCTAGATGTTGCTATGAAGGTATATTTAAGATATGGTTAATGTTTTAATCAGCAGACTTTGAGTAATGCAGAGTACCTTCCATAACAACTGATTAGACCTTATTCAATCAGTTTAAGATCTTAAGAGTAAAGACTGATGTCTCTTAAGAGGAGTAAATTCTAGCCAGCAATCCCATATATCAATGGGCAAGAGAGATGAATAGAATCTTCTCTAAAGAAGATAGGCAAATGGCTAGCAAACATATGAAAAAATGCTCACTGTCCCTAAATAGTAGAGCAATGCAAACCAAAACCACCCTGAGATATCACCTAACACCAGTGAGAATGGCCCACATCACAAAATCTCAAAACTGCAGATGCTGCCGTGGATGTGGAGAGAAGGGAACACTTTTACACTGCTGGTGGGACTGCAAACTAATACAACCTTTTTGGAAGGAAGTATGGAGAAACATCAAAGAACTCAAGCTAGACCTCCCATTTGATCCTGTAATTCCATTACTGGGCATCTACCCAGAAGGGAAAAAATCCTTTTACCATAAGAACACCTGCACTAGACTGTTAATCACAGCTCAATTTACAATCACCAAAATGTGGAAGCAGCCTAAATGCCCACCAACGCAGGAATGGCTTAACAAGCTGTGGTATATGTATACCATGGAATACTATTCATCCATTAAATAAGATGGAGACTTTATATCCTTTGTATTAACCTAGATAGAAGTGGAACACATTATTCTTAGTAGAGCATCACAAGAATAGAGAAGCAAGAATCCTATGTACTCAAATTTGATGTGAGGACAATTAATGACCTAGAACGCAGTGGGGGGTGGGGGAAGGGGTGAGCAGAGAGAAGGTAGGAGGGTGGGGTGGGGGAAAGGAAGAGCAGAGAGAGGAAAGGAAGGAGGGGAGTAGGAGAAGGAAAGACTAGATAGAGAGAAGGAGGGAGGGGGCTGGGGGGGTCTTGGTGTGTGACCCACCTTTGGGGGGCAGTACACAATTGTAAGAGGGACTTTACCTAACAAATGCAATCTATATAATCTGGTTTCTTGTACCCTCAAGGAATCCCCAGCAATAAAAAAAAAAAAAAGACTGCAACATAATTCTTCCTTGAGTCTCCATGCTGCTGGCCTGCCTGAAGATTTTGGACTTGCCAGTATTCATGATCACATGAGCCAACTCCTTAAGATAAATCTACCTATTAAATATATACATATATTATATTGGTTAGTTTTGGGGAAGAATCCTGATAGAACTAGCAATGTCTTCCACAGTAAAGAATTTAAAATTTTACCTTAAACATCTCAGCAGCATTTGGATTTTTTTGTTACTATTATAATTTTTCATTTTACATTACACATTTTTCTAATGATGATTCACTTAAACTAGAAGATAATATTATCAGTTTACTGATGAAGGAATTAAGACTTGAGTGGCTAAGTGAATTGCTTAAGATATAAACATTAAATGTCAAGTTCAGTATTGAAATTTACGTTCTGGAGCTACAAATATCACAGCGGCTTTTCAAGGGGCAATATCAAATTCCATGTATTAGCTTTGACTTGGGCAAGATTATTGCTTATTCATAAAATAGTTATAGTAATTGTATCTGAATCAAAGGATTTTTTGACCATTGAGTTATGTATATAAAAAATTTTGTACACTGCCCAATTGGACTGTGATGAATGTATCATATATTTAATCATTTATTATAATATATGATTATACCTTTTTTTTGCAGTTTTTTTTTTTTTTTTGGCCGGGGCTGGGTTTGAACCCACCACCTCTGGCATTCGGGGCTAGCGCCTTACTCCTTTGAGCCACAGACACCGCCCTTTATAAGATTATACCTTTAATTATAATACATCATTTGTACTATATATTTAATAACTGACATTAATACTTCTTATTAAAATATAGCTACTGGTCTTTTATATTGTAGCTCTGGCTTTTATAAAGAAATCATTTTCATTTTACTAAAAGTTAAGCTGATTTTACGATAAAATTCATTGTTCTAAAACCTTTTTTAAGGGAGATTTTTAAGTGATTAGGATTAATGGAGTAATCTTTTAAAATTAAAGCTAGTTCCATTTGTTCAAGTTTTCTCTCTTTCTCTCAGTGGTTTTCCAATTTTCCATGTATGTGTGGATGTGTGCACATTTTAGCAGAACATAGTGCTTCAGAGGACGTACATATGCTAGAATTAAACTGCCTGAGTTCTGAACCCAGCTTTGCCATTGGCTAGCTGTATAACCTCTCTCCTTTCTTTTTGTGTTATTTTTCCTTCCTGTAATATGAGAGGTGATATTAGGTGATAAACCTAAGCCTCCTCTAGGTTTTGTGAAGATTAAATGAATTAGTACATGTAAAGTATTGAAGAGAATCTCCAGCACATAATGAGTACCTAATAAGAACCATGTAAGTACTACAGATTATTATATGTGTATGTGTGCTACACGCATGTCATGGGTCATGTGAAATTGATTTCTACGTGTTTGATGTTATCACAAATAGGATCATCGTTTTTCTGTTATTAGAAGTAAAATCAAATGAAATAAAACCTAGAAGGACCATTATAAAATCTAATTATGTAATGTTTGCTGATATGGCAAGATATTGCCTGGACATCCTGGGTTTAGGGTGATTCAGGTGGAAAGCATCAGTGAAGGTTTTGTGCCATGTATGAATTCATGCTCCAGAATGGTCTATGAATGCTTTTAGTATTTTTTTTTAACACTCCAGCATTAATATTTAGAAAGAACTTAGGGAAGCACTTCATCGGTAAGTAACTACCCTAAAATCCCTTGAAAAATGACTGGCACATGGCAGACATCCTTTATTGTGTCAGAGTTTTGCTATGATCTTTTTAGCTCCAGAATTAGGAAGAAAATTCAAAATATGTACTTGCGTATGATCCCCAAAGATAATAACAAAAGATTAAATACAATCAGTTTTCTGGAGTCAGTCACAGTCATACATTTGCTATTGAACATACGTTGGAACAGCTTCTAAGATTTTGGAGAATAAAGAATGCACTAAAGATTTCTTTTACTCCAAAATTTTGGTTACTGAGATCCAATTCAGATACTTTCACATATATAGAATAATATATGGTATTTATTATTACCATATACTATTGCTAATACTAATTAAATTAGGAGTTTCAGAAAATGGCAGACTAATGCTAGAACAATTTTATAATTTCTGAGAGACCTTTTCACTTCAAGATTTTGCTGGTTGGTAATTTACCAGTTTTTAGAATGAAGTCTAGCTCCTTTAATATATGTGTATTCTTGGCCATTTTTCCTGAAAGAAGCCAAGCTGTCAGCAGCATTAGATAAAGTTTATCTCTTCCTCTTTTTAAGTATCTTGTCAATGATGTTTCTAGAACTCTGTACTGAATTAACTTTCTTTCTAATTTAGTATCACTCATTCTCAGTCTCCTTTGTTGGTTCCTTCTATTTTACTTACTTGATCTATTAACATTGCTCTGGTCCAAAGCTTAGATTTTGGACCTTATTTTTTTTTTAGCTATAGGCCCATAGAGATCTCGTCCAATCTCCTAACTTTATTTGTTTATTTTGTACCCAAGTAGCACAGGCTTGTGACTGGGTAACTTTATTTTTGGCCCCAGGTCAAGTCCCCCAAAGAATTTCTCGGCAGTCACTTCACAGAATCTCCTGCAGAGACATGTCCACCAAGTACATCTCTTCCTCAGGAGGCCTTATCATCATCTCAACCCTCAGCTTCTGTCACCTGGGCTCCAAACACTGTCCAATGGCATCAAAGCACAGCCACCAGTTTGAAAGTAACCTCAGGTTTGGCAGGAACCATGTAGACAAAAGTCTTGTAGAGCACAGAGTCCTTGGGCAGCTGGTGACCAGATTCACAGCCTCTGAGTCTGGGATTGGCACATAGAGCTCCTTAGTGTAGCGGACTACCCCCCTCTTCCAGGGCATTCAGGCACTTCCTCTTCCCCAGCCCTACATGGGCACCTGGGTGCCAGCGGAAATGGCGCTGAGTCCCCAGGATGTTGCCAGCATGAACATAGTGACCTTCCATTTTCTTGATGCCAAAGCGTTTGCCTGATGACTTTCCCCCAAGGTTTTTGGAGCTGCCACCTGTCTTCTTGGATGCATTTCTGATGGCGAGAGCTGTAGCTGGACAGGGGCTCAGCAGGGGCTCACTTCTGGCTTCAGAAACCAATCTCCTAACTTTAAATACTACTTATAAACTAATGACTCCCCAGTTATTTAACTCTGTTGCCCATATTGTGCTTTCAAACTATATACTCATATGCGTAATTTTCTACTTAGAATATCCACTTGGCTGTCTAGTTGATTTCCATAGGACAATGTGTTTAAAACTTTTTAAAATTTCAAATATTCTGCCAAACATACTCTCTTATTTCCCTGCTGCCTTTCCCCAATGTACTCCACTTTCATACTAATAGTTCTTCAGGAATTAACCCTCGGAACAATACGTAGCTTCTTTCTTTCTCTCCCATCCTATAAGTCAGTCCATCTATGTCTAATCTGTCAGGTAAGGACAATAGCTCTGTTTTCAGAACTCATCCTCCACTATTACCTCCATCGTCTGAGCCCACCATCGTCTCCTGCTGCATCCTGAGTTGACCTTCTAAAATATGAGTCCTAATATTTCATGTCCTTATTTCACTCAGATGAGAAGCCTGAATCCAGAAAATGGCCAATGTGGTCTCTCCTGTCCTGCCTTCTGCCCCACCCCACCCCAACTCTGGCTACCATCTACACTTGCTCAGTCAGCTTTAGCTCACTGGCTTCCTTGATGTTGTATGAGCCTACCAGATATATTTCTGTTTTAAAGTTTTTACTCTTTTTATTCTGGAATGTTCTTCATCCAGATAGTGATTGGGCTAACCTCACCTCCATGTCTAGAGCTCACTATTTCAGTGAGGCTTGCCTGGATCACCATAATTAATGCTAAATCCCGCTCACCCACCCCTCCAACCTTCCCTACTCCTTCTCAAACCCAGCCTGGATCTTCTGGATGCTAATTTTCATCTTTTCCATGGAATTATTCACTTTCAATGCCTTTCCCCAGCTAGAATATAAGCTCCTTAGGAATCTTTGGCTGTGTTCACTGATATGTCTAAGCACCTAGAATAGCACTTGGCACTTTAGTAGATATTTGAATCAATTTTCGAATGAAAGGATAAGTAAACGAATACAAGAGAACCAGAAAGACTGTACATTCTGGCCAAAATCTACAGGCATCAAAAACTGCACAGGCAGAGTGGGTTTAAAGGAAGAGGTGGAAAGGAAAAAGTTTTTTTTTTTCTTTGCCATTGACCGAGTCCAGTTTATTATTGTTTATAAATGGGATGTTTTTATGAAAAAGTGCTTAAAATTTTCAAATTATTTATCCTAGAGAAAAACAGTGTGGATTTTTGTATTAAAGAGAAGAAGAAACAGTAACTGACATAGGGAAACAATAGGACAACAGACCTGACGTAGAATTTGCTATGATCTGAGGAATAAGCAAACCTGCAATGCTAAGAGGACTTCAAAGATAACAACTTCAAAGCACCTGAGCTTTAAAACCGGGTCTGATGTCTGGCGTGATCTGGCAGATTTTGAAAGGATAACATTCTGTCTGAGTTATGATAAGACTTCATAAAGATTTATGTGTTTCTTGAAGCTTATAATTTGTATATTTCCTTCATCTTTCCCTTCATTTGTGGTCATAAATTCCGTCTGTTATTTTGTGCATTTTTAAAGGATTGTGTGCTCTGTATTTTCCTGCTAGAGACTGTTTGGATGCCTTCAGTCCATGAAATGTGTTCAGATCTTGAAAAAATAATAACAGGAAGAGATTCTTTAGAAAACCGAAAAAATATCAGGTGATAGCATGTGTCATTAGTGTCATTGGCCATGAGGAAAGCACAGGTCAACGTTAAAAATATCTAAATGATGGAGTTTTATTTACACTTAGCATAATATCTGACTGTGGTGAACCTAAGAATTAGCGAACACTCAACAGTGACTCTCTTGGGAATGGAGAGGGGACAAACCCAAACAGGTGAATGTTAACAACAATAAAATAACATTAAAATTGCTTGCATTATTTCTTTGAGAATTTGATACAATGTGTATGCCATGAGCAATGCTTTCAACAACACATTTTGGGTTAACCTGAAGCAAATTGCTTAACTAAATTTGTTTAATGATTCAAAATTTTTGCCTCATATGAAATATCTACTTTTGATGGAAATAAATAGGTTTAATTTATTCTTGTTACTTATCACGAAAGCCAATACAAATTGCTTTTAAGCCACTATAAAGCGATCTTAAGCATTCAGCACAACTGCTAATTTTTGACAAACTGCACTTGAATTGAGAACATCAGTGTAGAAAGCAGGGCAAGGAGCCAGCACCCTGCCTCCCTGAGCTCCTGAGCTGGACTGTTTTATACTCATAGTATCACTTTGAAATAATGGCGATAAAGTTGCCGTAGGATTGCTTTCATTTAACCAAAAAAACTAGGCGCCTTTGCAAAAAGCCATTTTAAAAAGTAGAACTTTCAAACCTTATGTGAAATTGCCCTTTCTTAGTGACAAAAACAAAATTATCATAAAGTTTTCTGTTTTACCCAGTTTCCTTTGCAATTTTAATTATGTATCAGTTAAAACATTCATCAGTAATGAATGTATATGTGGGCCACTTTAAATCATCATTCAAAGCGTTCAGTCTTTAATAAAATGGAGAGAATATTTCTAAATATTTTCTAAATATGCTAAAATGGAGAGAATTTTTGATTGCTTTAAAAATAATATAGAATAATGTGTAATGTATTGAACATATGGTACAAAAGTTAAATTTTCATCTTCTTATTTAAACCTGATATTATTTTCGTTTTCCTAATATGTAATAATATCACAGGTACAAAGTCCTTTCAGTGTGAAAGAACTAAGCCCACAGTGTGCTGTCTGAAGTGATTTATGATCTTTCAATGCTTATAGTAATGTCAAGTTTCAGCTTTGGATCGCACCATTATAACGTGTCAAACAATTTTAAAAATACTCCAACAGTTGACTACACCTGTTTCCACTTTGCAAATCCTTTCAAGTTCATGGCACTTTGATTGAAAGGGAAATATTTAACTTGCGTCTTTCTTTTTCAATCTAAAAATTGAATTTTTTTTCTTATTATATCATTCTGTATGATATTAATGTAAGTAAAAAATAAATTGTTAAAATTAGCAATTTTCTTTTATTTGATCACTTGCAAAGGGATTTTTTTAGAGTTCTAATTGGGCTATTTCCAAGTAAGTAAATAAGCTGAAATGTAGTAAGATTCTACTAAATTACCCTATTCTAACAAATCAAGTCTTTTAACAATTGATCAAAACATTTGGGGTCCACAACTCTAAATCTGATATACAGTATACATATAAATATACACATTCTCTATTTAAATATTTAACAGCATACAATACTTATACTAAAAGTAAGACACACTTATCATATAGTTATCATTTGGCATTTTGGCCAGCCGACCTATTTTTGGTAGCTTTAAGCAGAATAAAAGTCATCTTGCAACTTTCATATGGCCTAATTGTCATTGGAGGTCACCATTTCTCTGTTTGGTCACCTCAAATGGGCTGCAATTTTGGAGACAAAATAAAACCATCTTCCTAATATTTCTTTCACTTTTAGCACATGCATTTGGTTAACTCTATGTTAATAAGGCTTCAGGGAAATACTTTAAAGTTTGAAAATGACAATGATAATATAAATTTTCCTAAGAAGAGACTGTGAAGCCTTTGTAGATTAAAAGAAACTTTTATGGGTGCTTCAGGTAAATTTGATAATCCTTCCTTAGTAGAACACCAGTTATATCCTTATCAATTAGATGTCATGCATCTTGATTCTCTCAGCTTTCAGACACTCTTGAGTGTTCGTGAGGCACTTTGAGAAATTATCTTTTTAATCCATTATGGAATTTCAGTAAAGGGCTTAACAGTGTCTTAATCCAAACAAGCTATAAAATAAACATGAAAACATCAGATTTTGCAGCCAAGAAATCTCCCTTGACTGAATATTATTGTAAAGATAAGGGTTGGATGAGAAATCTCACAATATATTATTAAAATGCTCAAGAAAAATTCCTAAGGACATAATCTAGTGTATTATTCAGATGACTTATTAAAGCTATAAAATTTCTTTCAGAAAATGAAGATATTTATGTTTTGAATAGGTACTTTTAAAAATACATGGCTAAGGATAAGAATCACGACTTTACTGGGAAGAGTATCGTCTTATGGGAAATTTGGATATTCCCAGGATGGATCAACTAAGATACCAAGAATGACTTCTCAGCTAGGCCTTGTTGACTGAGCCTTACTGTCACTGAGAGGTTAGGTTTTGAATGAAATCTGCCAACACAAGCTATAGCAGGTTATGCTTCATAAAGTTACCTAGAGAACAAAATAGGGGGGATAAAAATTGTATTTTTTTATTTATGAAGAAAGACTCAGCCTTTCAAACTCTGGAGCTGTGGAGTATTTTTCAAATAGAGTAAGACCTGCAAACTCTATAAGGTAGGTCTGGTTAGAGGTCAACAATGGCTCCCAGGAAGAAGAAAAGATATACAACGTTCCCAATATTGTTCATCTTTCCTGTATCTATCAGTTAATAGCAGAGAGAGTAACAATATCCATTATACAATTGTGGTAGTGTTTCCAAGGTTGAAGATTATCTCTGGGAGACATCTAACATACTGCCACAGATACAGTAAGCTTTTGAACAATGCTATCCTAAAAATGAGAATAGACTATCTCAGGCATCTTAAGATGTTTAGTTAAACTTATAATCATATTATCACAGGTGCATTTTTTTTAATCCTCATTTTCCTTTGCAGCATCAGCATTGTACTAAATTACTTTCTCTATTTAATTTTGTGGCACCACTATAGTAACTCTGTAAAGCATGTAGATGATCCAGAATAATGTTTATTTAAAACATTCACTACTAGTTTCATCTTTTGTTTTTTGTTTTTCCTTCTGATGATCTTGGATTGAAATGGCTCTTTGACTTTCCCAAATGACATATTCCACAAGGTACTTCATCCTAATCAACCTTTTAGTGGTACAGAAATTGTCCAGACAGACATTTTAATTTATTACAATATTTATCAAGGAAATGTTTTAAAGA